TGACTATTCATTGTTAGCTCATGTAAATGTTTGTGGATAGGGCACTTGATACATACCAACGATCTCTTTTCGAGCTCCGGTACCCGCACGGCGAGCTCTTCTCTTTTTGACGTGAAATTTGCGCTGACCGTATAATAGGACACCACCTGTTCCAACGAATGCTAGAGCTGACACGGCTAATACCCGATTTTCCGAGATCCAGTCTTGACATTTCTCGAACGTAGATTTTGGAGGAAGGAAGACATCTGGGAAAAATTTGGGGTTGGGCGGTGGTCTGATGGATGAGGGTATCCATGACTGCTGCGAGAGAGTGTCACGGATCGAGGCAGCCGCACGTTCGACATGACTGTCGATCGAGCTTGCGATCTGGGTTGAGTATTTAGTTACATCATTAGGAACCCATGCGAGCTATAGTCCGTCTAGGTCAGCATATATCCTGTTAGGAAGTCTGAGATCAAAAGCTACTCACATAGTTGAAGAAGAAGTAGTCATCGCTCGTCATCTTGCCGTAAATTTAGTACTGATTCTTATTAATTCGCAGCTAACTCCCCTTTCTCCTCTTAACTCCTCGAGATGAAATTATCCAAACAGCTTCGAAGCTTTTTTCTATGATGCTATGCAACGGATTTTGCCGTCTTTCTCCGCCATCGGAGTGGAACAACGCAAACTCCGAGATCGCGATAAGATAAGAATTTTCTCCTATTTTAGGAAAAAGACCGCGTTGGCTTAATAGGAGCCTGGCAAGGCGAGAAGAGGAAGAGAAGAAGGCCCTCGAAGGGTCTACGACAGTAGTTGGTTATAAAGCAGATGGAGATTTCGATGACAAATACTCTGATGAGGCTTGGAACGGGATAAACCTCTTTGTTTGTCCCTGTTCAATGTTTATAATCTTCACTGCTGGCTTTTATACCCAACATCTACACCTGATTCGGACTGGCTTTATGAGCCGTGGACCTCGTCTTCAAGGCGCGCTTTTATAAACTGAATATTTCAATATCACATCCCCCCAAAAAACCGGCATCTTATCCCCAGACGTCGCGTGTATCCTTGGTTATCCATAAGACAAGATGAGGGAACTGGATCCCCTCGTTTCAGAATATCAGCATGAAAAACACCGGCCCCGTGAAGCAGAGGCTCTAACGACCCTGCGAAAAATAGCTTCTATGGTTAAACCTATTATGCGCCAGCGGATGTGGAGAGTTGGAACGCTGTGCGAATTCTATCCTTCAACTCAGAATCTATTAGGCTTAAACGTGAACCATGGGGAGAAGATATGCCTTCGGTTAAGACAACCATATGATGAACGCCAGTTTCTCCCGATAGAACAGGTACTTGATACCATGCTTCACGAGTAAGTCGATAGTCAACATCGCGGCCAGGGTGCTAGGAGCTGGGCGAAGCTAATCATAACTAGGTTGTGCCATATAGTTCATGGCCCGCATGACCAAAAATTCCATGCTCTATGGAACCAACTCCGCGATGAGCACGAGCAGCTCCTTAGCAGGGGCTATACCGGAGAAGGATTCCTTTCTAACGGTAAACGGCTGGGCGGAAGCCGGATACCGATGGATGAAGCCCGTCGAGTTGCTCGTGCTGCGGCAGAAAAGCGTCGCGTGTTGACTTCTGGCTCTGGAAAGAAGCTAGGAGGTGCAGCAGTTCTGCCTGGGACAGATATGCGGAGAATCCTTGCCGATGCAGCTGAGAGACGAACAACGGTGACCAAAGGTTGCGCCAGCGGAACTACTGAAGGCGATATGCTTGCTGATGAAGCTGCTCGAAATGGTTTCCGAACAAAAGCCGAAATGGAGGATGCAAATGAGAGAGCCATCATGGAAGCCTATATCGATCTTATTCAGCAGGAGGAGAAAGAGCAGTATGGGAATTCTTATACGCCTCCTAGTGCATCGAACCCTGCTGGCCCTCGAGCTTTATCACAATACTCAACAAGTTCACCCTCAACACCACATCTACATTCATATTCTCCAAAACCTCAACCATCAAATTCAATCCTTAATTCATCAAACCAGGATAAAAACGACCCAGAGTCATGGGCATGTTCTATGTGTACCTTTGTTAACCGACCTCTCTTTCTTTCCTGTGAGGTATGCTCTACCGAACGTGGCCAGCGAACTAATCCACCTCCTCCGCCCAAGCCGAACCCCAAACCAGTCCCCGCAAAGAGCTTCGCAAGGCCACCTGCGTCCTCTGTGAGAGATGGAAGGATGAAGCCTCGAAAATCTGCAATTGAAGCTATAATTGACTTGGAAAAGAATGAGCGGCCGCCATCAAAACGGTCTCTGGGATGGGTGTGTCACTGCTGCGGAGCCTTTATGGAAACGCAATGGTGGACATGTTCTGCCTGTGGGACAATGAAACTATCCGATTGAATGCTGAATCAGCTAACCTCCAAGGATCGCCTCCTCTAGACCTATATTGCTGGTGGACGCTTATAATGGAGACTGGCGAGAAGCACTGTCATGAAATATAACGACTTTCCTACAGCCACCCTTTTTATCTTTTTTGGGAGAGTAAACGCTAGATACCTGCGAGCGTTGGACTACTTTTCTATGTGTATGTAATCTAGAACCTACTGTTTATCGTTGGCTTGTCATAGTATCCACACCGTCACACCTCGATCCAGTGAACCTCGACGTAACTCTGCTTGTGCTCAAGTTAAGCCTGCTCGTCCCGTGGATTATAGTATCCTGTGTGGGATCTACGACGCATATGGGAGTATATGCTCATCTTTCACGTGGTGTCTACCACCAATTAGCATCCTCAAGCTCTCAACTACTACTATGTATGGTCATCCACAGTTGTATTAAGTAGAAGCTCCGAAGCTCTCGACCCGCTGAAGAGTCCATGTATATGGGTTCGGCATGGACCGCCGGTTGGCCTTGCGTGCGGGCCGACGCGCCAAGGCTAAAGCTACCACAGCAGGAGATTCAAGTAGAAGTTCAAGTCGGACAGTTCGGAGTCATGCATCTATACCATCATGTATCTTTCCTCACGCTTGCCCGGCGTGCAAGGCCAACAGTGTGCATTCTGTGAAACCAGGATTTGAGCCCGCACAGCATGACTTTCTTGCCAACGTGGTTTAATCCTTGGATAAACACGACGAAACTCTCCAACTGGCAAGGCAGAGACCAGACTGCCCAGACTGCAGATATACTAATCGATTCGCAGCACTCCGAAGGATGCATTAACTTGACTGACATTGGGATAACTAAGGCCAAAGGAGCCGAGTAAGAAAGCTTCGGCGACGTCCGTCCCAAGTCTCGAAAATGGAGCTCAGATCCGCTGTTTATGCATCAGGGATTTGTGCCGACTGCTGGGGGATCAGCCACTAAGATGTCGATTATGATATGGGCGGTACTCCCTCCAGCCTACCACAGCACTGTACTGCTCTGTTGCAACGATATCACCTGATTCTCGTATGCTTATATCCTGAGCTTCGTATAATATAACCGATGGGTCCCTTGATGCAACTTCGTTCCACCCCTCGCACATGTTGATGATAACGCGGCTTGAGTGGTTCGTCTTCGTCGACTTTGCGGGACAACTGCGGGAGAGCTTTGGCATGTTGCCATTGATCGCCGGCTCCTCTCCATTTATGGCCTTTGTCCCATGGTCAGGCTGATTCGATACCTATATATCCTGTCTGGTTACATTGCTACATATTTAAGAGGTCGAACGCACCCCCAGCTTTCGTTGTTGTCTAGAAAGCAAGCAGCATAACTTTCAGTCAACATATATCGAGTCTTCTTCCATCTCCACCTAGACAACATGAAGTTCCTTAGCCTCTTCTCCCTCGTGGCCGTTGCCACCGCTGCCCCAGCTACTCTGCAGGCCAGAGGTGCTACGACGTGTGGCAGCACCAACTACTCTGCCGACCAAGTGAGCGCTGCTAACAATGCTGCTTGCAACTACGTCATGAATGGCGGCACTGCTGGCGGTTCCAGCTACCCCCACGAGTACCACAACTATGAGGGTTTCGAATTCAAGGGCCTCGGCGGTCCCTTCTTTGAGTTCCCCATTCTCACTTCAGGTGTCTACACCGGAGGTATGTGCTCTGTTTTATTCATATTAATCAAGTAGATATGCAATACGCAAGGGGCCCTAACAATGTATAATTAGGTTCTCCTGGCGCCGACCGTGTCGTCATCACTGAAGACTGTCAAGAGGCTGGCCAAATCACCCACACTGGTGCCAGCGGCGGCGACTTTGTTGCCTGCTCTGGCACCAGCTAGATGGATGGAGATGAGGGGGGAACGATGTCAAGTCTTTTTCTTTAGCTGAGGGTGGCCAACTGAGGATTGGTTGAATAATACTTTGTAATCTCTTTCTACTCGGAAAAAAAAGGGCAAGGGGCATTATGGTTGCTTACCCTTAGAATTTCGTGTACTGAGATTCAGTATATGTATATAGTCAGGATTTTATGAAACATTTGCTCGCGATTGAAGACTAAAATATGGCACGCTTGTGCTCGACGGTCTCTTCAGAAGAACTATGAACTATGGCCCATTGGACACTACAGCCCTTCTGTTCGTAGATCTGAACCTGTCATATTTGAGGAGCAATCTATACATGCATTCTCTTCACCAGCCAACTATCCTACTCCCATTGTTACGCTCATCTCTTGCCAACCAAGTGGATGAGTAGGCCCTGAATTCTAACTTGTGCACAATATGGTAATTGCCATGTATCTGATCTCAATTAACGACGGGATGAAGCACTCCAGGATGAAGGTATGCCTTTTGGTCATGGTTGTCTAATAATCCTGAAGTAGAGAGGCACGCCGTCTTTATCTTTCCCAAGTCAAATATTCGAAATCTCGTATATGCTCACACAAACATCTGCTCCTCTATAATTACCCAGGAGACTCGCTCTAACCTTCTGGAATTCCACCTTTTGTCCCGTTGGGTATGCGGTGATAAGGGGAAGTACGGGAGACCAGGTATCGGGCTATAAGTACTCTGAGTGCACCCTACCACCATCAAGCCGGGCTAGCTCAATCGGTAGAGCGTGTGGCTTTTACAGTATACACGGTCTGACACCACAAGGCTGCGAGTTCGAGCCTCGCGTTCGGCTTTCTTTTTTTCTCTATCTTTTTTGCTCTTCACTCTTTGCTGCGATTAGGTAATACATAGTCATCACGTGCCAATTCTCGACAGCATAAAAAGTTCGCTTGGGCTTTTTCACATTTTTTACAGGCCAACAACTTCCTCAGCTTCTCTACCGAAGCTCTGGATAATGAGATTGAAAAATGTTGATGAAATAATGATTTAGCAGTGTAAGTCAAACCCGCATACTATATACTCCTGGTTTTCCCGTTATCCCCCGAAGAATGCCAAAGACTGTGTTTTCCAAACCATATACATCCTTTTATATGATGAATACCACACGAACCAATTACTTTAGGAAGAGCCGGAAGAGGTATGGCAACCGTCACCGAAAGGAACGGGTTAATTTATTATTTATGTCGTCGATGCTTAGAATGGTTCTGCTGAAGAAAGCTTGTGTATGGTTCTGGAATGGCTGTGGCCTTTTCTGTCGCCGTTCAACTTTTCCACAATATTGATTGGGATCTCTATTGGTCTTGCAGGTTGCTAATTTGCCTTCTGCTACAGATACGTTCGCCGGCTGAATGACCAATAATGAAATAGGGACGAGTGATGGGTCGAGTAAACCTCCAGGTACATAATGAAGGCAGGAAGGATGTATTCCATTCTTGGGGAACGCAATAAGGTTAAACAAACTGGAGACTGTTCCTGCATCTGACTTGGGGGGTCATTTGCTAAACAGTGATTTTAGCGATAGAGTAGTTATTTTTGATCGTTGGACGACGTTTAATGTGATTCTTAAACATTCTATTTCTATTCAGTCGAATTTGACATATTTTACAAAACTCCATCCAATTGATTCGCCATCGATTAAAAAAACAGATTTTTGGTATCCCGCCCCAATGCATAGTGTTCGTAATTTCCACACACGCCTTATGTCTGCATGCAACCAAGATAGTAAACTGGTTGGTTAATCAACAACAACTTTTCAATATATTTTTATGCGACGGATATATATTGCCGTTTCTTGACTCCGCTCTGCTTCTGTTCATCTTGCTCCCAGACATCTTCATCGACATAATCCGATTTGCTCCTTTCTCGCACCTGACCGCCAATAAACTGTAGAGCCGCCAGGTTGTAGCCCATCTCGTCCTTTTGTCTGTCTAGAACGCGGCGAAGATGGTCACGAATAGAGTCAAGCATTGGCTTCATCATTTTACTGGTGACGATTTGAGTGTGATGTGTCTTGAGGATGAAGAATAGCACACGACAGGTGAGCGGAATATCCCATCCCTTTCCAGCCCATATGTTCACAAAAGTGAAGAGGGCTGGTAACTTGGTGAAGGGAAGGACGAGAAGGGCATCCTGCAGTGAGGCAGCGGGTATTTTCCGAACGACATTGAGGAGATAGCGTTCAGCGGATATATTTCCGAAAGCGAGATATTGCGGATGTCGAGTAGGGGGTGCGATTTTCTTCTCCTCGGCGTCTCGTAGCAGTGCAAGGTCATCCATACCAAGATCAAGGGCTTCAATGATCTTCTCTCCAGCAGTAAGAGTCTCGGCGGTCTGCTTACCAGCCGCCACTGCCTCTGCCTTCTCTTCATCGTCGTCTTGATCCAAGGACTTGAGCAGATTGTCTTCGTATAAGTTTTCCATCTCCTTCTCTCGCTCTTCCTCTAAGAATATTTGCTCATCTGTCTGCTCCCAAAGTCGAATACTCTTGTCGTGACTTGATGTCACAATGAATTCTCCGCAATGGCTCATCGCTAGCGCCCAAATCTCGCCATGGTGACCGCCCAACTTTAGAATCTGCTCGAACTTATCCCCGTCCCAGTACTTGATTACTCGATCCTTTCCTACACTGAAAAAATTGTGGCCATCACCCTCCTTGTTGTGGGGCATAAAAGCAACAGCCATGACACTGTCCTGGTGAGCAAA